TAACTTCTATACTCTGGTGTGCTCAGTACCATATGTGCTTATTCCATGATTTTTAATCAGTGCAGGTTTTAGCACTTTATGCCAAGGTATCAACTTGACAGAATCCAGAATTACCCTGAAGATGTTATTTTTGGGGCATGCCTATGAGTAATTATCTAGATTAGGTTAATTAAATTGGGAAGACCCCACCTAAATATGGGTGGCACCATTCTATTTGCTAGGATCCCAGACTGCATTAAAAAAAAACCCACAAAACACACACAAAAAATATGAGTATAAGCAGTGATCTCTTTCTGATTCCTGTCTGTGGTTACGTGACCAGCTGACTGAAGTTCCTGCTGCCATTACTTATCCACCATGATGGGTGTATCCTTGAACTATGTGCTAAAATAAATTCTTTCTTCCAAAGTTGCTTTTGCTGAGTATATTTAAAAATTTTTTTCTCTCTCATATATATCATCCTGACTACAGTTTCCCATCCCCCTCTCTCCATTACCTCCCTTATTCTCCAGAACTACTCCTACCCTTCCCTCAGAAAAGAACAGGCCTCCCAGGGGCACCAACCAAATATGGGATAACAAGCTAGGATAAGACCAGGCTCATACCATCACAACAAGGTTGGACAAGGCTACCTAGTAGGAGGAATAGGGTCTAACAAGAAGGCAAGGGGCCACCGGGCAGTGGTGGCGCACGCCTTTAATTCCAGCACTTGGGAGGCAGAGGTAGGCAGATTTCTGAGTTTGAGGCCAGCCTGGTCTACAGAGTGAGTTCCAGGACAGCCAGGGCTACACAGAGAAACCCTGTCTCGAACCCCCCCCCCCAAAAAAAGAAGGCAAACGGTCAGGGACAGCCCCCAGTCCCACGCTTATACTGAGTATCTTGTTACAGCAATGTGAAAAGGAACTAACACAAGGCTTGTCAACTGTGTCCTCTGTCCGAAACTTCCTCTTAAATCCCAGAATTATGCACACATGTGCTAGCTACACATTTCTACTAGAATGTGTGTGTGTGTGTGTGTGTGTATACACATGTGTTTATATATAAAACATAAGTTGAGTTCAAAATGGAATTTGTTGTTTTCTCCTCCAAATCTATTTTTTTCCAAATCTATTCTATATATAGGTTTTCCATTGGCATTCATCTAGAATCCCACTACTTCCTACTACTTTCTCAAGGCCACAGTCATGGATCTAATAGATTACCATAATAGACTTTTAATTGCTTTTCTTATTTCTAACATTATATCCTCAGTATATTCTGAATGAAGGCGTCACAGTGGGTTCTTCTTTGGTGATAGGATCTTATTATATAGTCTAGGCTGGCTCAGAACATATGATCTTGCTTTTACCTCATGTGTGCTGGGTTACAGACTTATACCATTTGGGTTTATTAGTTGGTTAACTGCTATAGAAATTTAAAAATTTGTATAATAGGTTACAATAATAAGCTTTCATATACTTATCTTTCAACTTCACTGAGTGTTGGTACATGGTGGATCTTGTTTACCTTTAACACTCATAGCTCTCTGTCTTCTGTATTATTTTTATTCCTTAGGATGAGTTCTAAAATAATGTATTAGCCCACTCCTCTGCTTTAAAAACTACCATTGGCTCTTTTTGTGTGAGTGTGTTGTGTATGGACAGACACAATGGCTCTTTTGTAAACTCAGTGAAAAAATAAAAGATCTTATAATGGCTCTGGAAGATTTCACGAGGAGATGACAAACTATGTGGCACTAACCAAATGCAGATACTCATCTGTTTTTACATTTTTTGGTGGCCAGACATTAAAACTGGGACCTTTAATATGCTAGTAAAAGTTACATGAAACTTAAATTTTTAAGTGTATAAACACTGATATACAGGTAATTAGAATACAGCCACATTTATTTGTTTAAATATTATTTATGGCTGCCTTTGCAATGCATAACTAGTGTTGAGCACCTGTGACAAGAAACTACTTGGTCCACAAAGCCTAAAAAACACATTTATTATCTTTCTATTTATAGAGCAAATTTACCAGCCCTTGCCCTAATCAATAAGGACCCATGTAATCTTTCTGATCTTCTTTTCCCAAATACTCTGTTTTCATCTTGTTGGATTCTTTCTGTTGATCAAATAGGCCAGGCACACTTCTATCTGATGGCTTTCTCAATGGCTGTTCCCTCTGTCTGAAACACTTTTATCCTAAATATCTACATAGCCTTTTCTCTTGCACTGGAGTCAAATGTCACCTTCATAATTAGTCCTACCCTATCCACTCCACTTAAACTTTAATTTATACTCCCTGCCTCATACTTCCCAACTTCTTACTATCCTCTACATTTTTCTTATCATCTTCTAACATTTTAGTTAACATCTATTGCATATTGTTTACTTTCACAAACTAAAACATAAGCTCCACAGTGAAAAGTTCTTTGTTATTTATTTCATTGGTAGACCCAAATCCTAGTATACAATTAAGCATATACACTTGTTGAATAAATTAAACCTCTTATACTCAAGCTTGGGACAGAGATGTAGTTAAGTAGTAGAACATTCGCTTAGCATATTTGAAATTACATGAAATGAGATCTTGGGATTATTCCCTAGCACCACACAAAAACCAAAAATGCATAATGGTCTCAATAGTAAGATTTACCTAAAATTAAGAATCTGAACTTTAAGAAATAAAAATAAGAATTGTTTTGCAGACGTGAAACCTCTAGAATGTCTTCTCTACTCATATATTCATCTATCATCCATCCATCAATTTAGAATTTATTTATTGCATGTCTGCCATGTCAAGGTATGGGGAAAAGCTAAGGACAAAACTAGGGAAGATAAAAACTCACAGATGAACAATATAATACAAGACAGAATATGGAACCTAAGGCTGCAATGTAAACTCTTCTCTGAAAATGTTAAGGTCAGTGATTTCTGTACTAGTTATGCTACTGATTACTAACTGGCATAAAAATAATCTTTAACAGCTAAACAGTGGGAAATGTAGGTATGATAATGAGAATTTTATTGAATACAAATTCAATTTGTAAAAATATTAAATAATGAACATGGAAATATTGTTTCAATGGAAAATATGTATCATAAATTAATCTGATACATTCAAACATACATGCATTTATTCAATGTACCTTAAATGAATACTAACAATAGGAGAAATTCACAGATGAATGGTGTATCATCTTGGCTTTTAAGAGGCTTATATAGGGAGAGCAAACAGGAGATAACTTAGATAAACCAAACACTGTGTTAGGTTAGTAGCTTCATGTTTCTATTGCTGTGATTTAAAAAAAAAAAGCCCTAGAGCCAAGAGTAACTTGGGGAGTAAAGGATTTATTTCATCTTATAATTTGCAGTTCATCATCTAGGGAAGTCAGGACAGGAGCCCAACATAGGAACTAATACGAAAGCCCTGGAGGAGTGTTGATTACTGGATTGTTCCTCATGGCTTGTTCAACCTGCTTATAGCATGCAGGACCACTAGCCTGAGAGTAGCACCACCCACAGTGGTTTGAAATCTCCTATATCAGTCATCAATCAAGAAAATGTACCACAGGCTTGTCTACAAGCCAATCTATTTGGGGACATTTTCTCAATTGAGTCATTTCCAAAATGACTCTAGCTTGTGTCAAGTTGACAGTAAATATATATTAGGGAGAGAGTTTCACCTTGTAAACACTAAAATGTTCTATAGTTAAGACAAATAAAATTTTAAAACCAAGGTAAGTATTTATATTTTTCAGATAACAAGTCTGCAACCTATCATGCTAAAACAGAAGTGAACTGGATAAAACATCTAGAACCATTGCTCTAAAGTTGTGACATTACAGAGATCCCTTTCTCTGAGAGTATGCAGGCAAATCTGATCTCAACCACTCTGCAGCTCACATGCAGTAATTTTAAGTCAGTCACAGTCCTTCCTTCCCACTTACAACCAGAGCCACCCTATTATGTTTGGAACAGAAAGTGAAATAACATTGTACCTTAGATAGCTCAAAAAAAAAAAAAACATTACCTGTACTACCACATGCAACATATATGCCTATAAGAATAATTTTTAAAGATTTATTTTTATTTTATGTGTACTGATGTTTTGCCTGCATGTATACCTATGCAAAGGTGTGAAGGTGTCAGATCTTGGAGTTTCAGACAGCTATGAGCTGCCCTGTGTATGCTGAGAATTGAACTCAGGTACTCTGGAGCAGTCTGTGCTCTTAACCTCCGAGGCATCTCCCCAGTCCCTTTAAGAGTGATTTTAAATCTATTCAAATGTACCTTTCTACACCCAAATGGTTTAGAGAACCATCTATCTAATCATAGTGGATCTTAAATTCATTGACATTTAATGGATGAAACTCATCAAAACATGGGCTATTTTAGAGTTATAGTTTATTCCGTCTCAGAATGAAATCACTCAGCTTCAGAGTCTAGTTGACACATATGCTCTGACACTAAAAGATGAAGGTTAAATACCATTATGAATATTATTTTGAGAGGGGGGGTCTCACTATGTTGTTCAGGCTGACTCCTGAGGTGAAATGATTTTCTTTTGCCTCAATTTCTTAAAAAGCTGGGCAAACCACGTGTATCACTATTCCTGGTAACCAAAATGAATGCTGAAAAGAATAGGCTAAGGGTTGGAGAGATAGCTTACTGGTTAAGAACATTTACTGAACTTTCAGAGGATCCAAGTTCAATCCCCAGCATCCATGCTGGCTGGCTCACAATCACTTGTAACTCCAGCTCCAGGGGATCCAACACCCTCTTATGACCTCTGGGGGTACCCACCTACATACATATAAATAAAAATAAATCTGTGGGAAAAAACCCAGGCTGAACGGTCCAGAAGCAACATCTGAAAAAGATTTCCACAAATGGTCTGTGGAGTGGCAGCACCCTGCACATGAGTGGGTAGCCTCTTAAGTGATTTCTGAGTTAACAGGACACTCTTACTGGGACTTGGTTTTAGCTCACTCCACCATTTCTCAGGGTACTTACCTGAATACAAGCCCCTGTCTTCACCTTGCACAGGTTGCAAACTAAGGCCCACCGGCTAGGTGGGATGTGGGAGATTTTTGTGACAGGCTCCATTCTCTCTGGACAAGCGATACTGACCTACAAATAAAACATCATCATAAGACAGAAGCACCAAGGCATGTCAAAAGCACTTTTCACAAACTATAAATGATGTTATATGAAACTGAGAACATTAAAACAATGAGGCAAGCCATATCTTCTTCCAAGGTTAGTATGGAACTAAGAATAAACAAAAGATGTTTCAGTCCTTCAATCATTTCTAGTAATGTAAACAATTCATATCTATGAAGAGTACAGGAGTGTAGACTAGGTAGGCATGATTACCTAAAACAATCAAGATAATATCCATCTTTACTTAGAAGAAAGCTACTTAGGAAAGGAAATAAAGTTTAGAAATTCTAGAATCTGTCTTATGTGACAGATAGTATCACATGTCTTGCTATTTCATTTAATCAACTAAAGATAAAGAAAGGCAGTGACAGATCTTTCTATTTGGTTTACAAAGCAGCATAACATTGTTGTAAAGTAACAGCAAATTTATGTTATGAAGGGACTGCAGTATGTAATTAGAAAGGATGAAGATGATACCACTTCTAAACCCCAAATCTTTAAGACTATGTAACTATTATCATCTTACCCTACTCTCTCAGCCAAAGTAGCTTCAAAGTGAAATTAAGTCTTTGGGAATGCTGAAAGGAAAAGGACACTTTAAAAAAGATGGAAAAAATTTCCATATGGAAATAAAGGGTCATGTAACTACTGGTAAAAACGTGTTAGTGGCTTTTTTTTTTTTACAATTTTATACATGTAGAAATGTTGTGCCTGTGTGCATGTCTGTGTGCTACATGCATGCAGTGTCTACAAGGGCCAGAAGAAGGTATTAGATTCTCTGAGACTGGAGTAACAGATGGCTGTAAATTACCATGTGGGTGCTAGGACTGGTGCTCTTAATCCCTGGACAATCTCTACAGCACCAGAAATAAACAAGTTTTACAAAGCATAGTTATTTCTCTGTAATAACTATCAATGAAGGATGATCTATCTACTATAAGTTCTGTCCAGATCAGGAAAGTGAGAACTTTAATAATCCAAAATGTACTGGAAATCCAGAATTGAAAAGCCCTAAGAGAATATTAATTAAACATGAAGGTTTTATTTATTTTTGTTTACTTTTTGAGATAGCCCATGGTGGCCCTTAACTCATGATTTTCTTAGTCTAGTCTCCTGAGTGCTAGGATTATAGGTGATTTGTTTCACTTTTGTGTATGTGGTTTGTTGGGAATCAAGCCCAGGCTTTGCACATGCTAAGCAAATAATGTCTGAGCTATGTTCCTTGTTTGTTTTTGGTCTGAGACAAGGTTCCACTATGACTTAAGCTAGCCTTGAGATTGCTGTGCAGCACAGGCTGGCTTTAGCTTTTGATTATCCTGCTTTTTCATCCAAAGATGAAGGATTACAGGCATATGATACCAGGCCTGGCTTCAACCTTTTTTAATTTTAATTTTTTGATAGTGGAGAGTTGCCTCGTTTATAATAGGCAAATACTCTACCAATTACTACACCTTACCACCAAACTATTGGTTTTTGATGTTTGTTTACAGAGTCTAGGTCATGTAGGCTGACTTTGAGCTCACTATGTATCTCCAAGATAGCTTCCAGATAGTCCTCCTGCCTCAGCTTCCCAATTATAGGGATTAGAGGAATGTCCTACCATGCTCAGTTTAGAAGCCATGTTTTAATTAAGTTAGTGAACAATAGCCATTCAGGAAATATCTGCAATTAAAGGATAGGTTGGTAACAAGGAATAAATTATGAATAAAAGCCTTAGGTAAGTGTTGAGTTTAAGCACTGAAAGAGCTTTTTAAGTAAAGGACAACTAGGTGTGGTGGTCCTTAATACCAGAATTTGGGAGGCAGAGGCAGGTGGATTTTTGTGAGTTCTAGGGCAGCTAGTCAGTAATAGAGCGAAACCCTGTCTTTAAAAAAAACAACAACAACAAAAAGTAGAGGAAAACTACCACAGCGGGCAAGAGTGATTGGCTACTTTATTTGTAACAGCCTATAATAAGAGACCTAAAGCAGAATAAAGAAATAGAATATCTAGAACATCCATATAATTATGAACTACTAAGCAATGTAAATTAATGAACTACTGATACATACATACTACAACATGGAGTTCTAGCCAGGCAACAAAGAATACTTACTCTAAAAGTTCCATTTATATGAAGCTTAAAAACAGACAAAACTTATTCAGAGTGATAGAAATTAAAATGGTTTACTCTCAGAACTAGGGACCTTTCCAGGATGCTATTTACATATTTCTGTGGTATTTCATGTCTTAATCTGATTTGTGGCTACCGGTATTTTAGGTTAAATTTTACTTTTAAAAATGTTTTTTCTGGGCCGGGCGGTGGTGGCGCATGCCTTTAATCCCAGCACTTGGGAGGCAGAGGCAGGCAGATTTCTGAGTTCGAGAGTTTGAGGCTAGCCTGGTCTACAGAGTGAGTTCCAGGACAGCCAGGGCTACACAGAGAAACCCTGTCTCGAAAAACCAAAAAAAAAAAAAAGTTTTTTTCTCTTACCATTATCTTTTTTAAAAAAGTAGTTTATTTTAAAAAAATATTATTTAAGTATTTTAAAATTATGCATATATGTGTATGAGTATGTGTATAATATATAGGTGCCTCTGGAGGCCAGAGGTCATCAATTTCCTGGGAGGCAGAGTTACAGATAGTTAGCTGTGAGCTGCTTGACATGGTGCAGGGTGCTAAAAATTGGATCTTGTGTAAGAGCTCCTAATAGCTAAGCTACTTCCAGGCCCACTTCTGGTCTTTTATGTCTCTTCCCTCTTACAAATTTATCAAATACCACTGAAAATATCACCCACAAATAGAGAAGTCTGGGATAACAGGCACAGTTGCATCCAAGAAGACCAGAGATAGCATATGAATCTCAGAAATAGTTGAGCAGAAAGCATTTCCATGACCAGTCTGAGTCTGTCTAAATATCATAGGAAGGAGGGTACCCTAGAGTAAATAGGCCCAGATTTGGATGGTTACTTACTTCTGGAATCCATAGGGCACAGCTGACATGAGCCCATTTAGTTCCTGTCCTGGTGGTCTTCATGGCACCACCCTTCTTAGGACATAAAACACACTGTGGATAAATGCCCAGGACACAGGAGCGGCACAGCCAACTGCCTTCTGGAATCTTGAGGATGCCATAGCAAGCCTTAGGTAAGTATGAAAAAGAGATAAGCACACATAGCTGAACAAGTTCATATCCAAGATTTAGTAATTTTTAAACGCTAAAAACCAAGCTTGTAGCATCATCTGAACTAAGATTAGCATGCATACCTATGAGAAACAACTTTAATGAAGATAGAAAAAGACTATGTGGTAATCCACATCAAGATTAGTCCAACTACTAATTGAGAGTTGAATTACAGACATTTAAACATTTATTGAAATAATTCATTTCCTGGATTCCAAACTGTCTTCAGTGTTTATATAACAGGTCATCTAAGCAATAATGGAATAATTTCCAACATATCATGTACTATTGTGATAAAAAAGTGAAATAAACTAATGTTTATAAAGAGTCTAGTACCTGATACATAAAAACACTTAGGAAATTATAGAAATTATTTGCTTGGGTTGGATAAAAAGGAGACTTGTGAATTGAATCACAATAATCCACAATGAGTTCTAGGAGCCTTTTCAATTCTTTACTGAATGATACTTGAAAAATAAATGATAACTCAGAGATGGAAGACTGCTTAGGAATTATTCTAGATGACCCCATCTTCAATTCTGTTCATTAGACCCTCTTTATTGCTCCACTCTATTTCAGAAAAAAACTAGTTGCCTTTAGGTTCCTCACAGGGCAAAATATACCCTATACCATCAACTGATTCAACCTAGCAGTTTCAAATTTTTTTTAAAGATTTATATATTTATTATATGTAAGCACACTGTAGCTATCTTCAGACACCCATATGAGGGCATCAGATCTCATTGTAGATGGTTGTGAGCCACCATGTGGTTGCTGGGATTTGAACTCATGACCTCTAGAAGAGCAGTCAGTGCTCTTAACCGCTGAGCCATCTCACCAGCCCCAGTTTCAAATTTTTTATGAGTTCCAGATTCACACTTAGGTGAGATTCACTAAGAGTTATAACCATCCATTGCCAATCTTTCTTTCCTTTTTTATCTTCCAGACCAAATCCCTGGACTTTTACTTATTTACCTTCATCCACCGGCTCTAGGCGCTTACGCTTGCTTCTTACATTGAGTCTCAGAGGCTGAACTTCCTTTCCATGCCCATCCTCACCACTACTGTTCTATCCAACTCTTTGTCACACTATTCTAGGATGAATTTATTTCTAAATTTGTTTACTCATTCTTCACAGCTTTCACCCTTCCTCTAGTTATCAAATTCTTCTCAGTAAAATCTTCCAGGGATTTTTCTGGTTCTTACCTCATTTGCCTACCATCATCTAAACTAGGTGTTGGCTACTGCTTAAGACCTGTTTTATAAGGCTAACAAACTTAGAATGTTTTTTTTTCACATTTTAAAGAGGTCTAAGATGGGGGGAGACAACACACAATAGAGATCAAAGTCTAAAGTATTTCTGACACTTTAAAGAAAAGGTTTGCTGGCCTCTGATCTGAAGTTTTCATCTCTTTATACCTTAATATTTCTTCTCAGTTTTCTACATAAGTGTCCACTTTAGCTCTCATGTCCATGTTTCTTGCTAGGTGTTTTCCCTAGTCTAAAGATCAACTTCCTTTTGTACTTCTTTTCTTACTTTCCACGCCTGGATTAAACTCTACCCCCTACTCCAAAACTCCACTCAGGTTACAGTGGCCTTTTGTATCTGCTCTACTATTGCCTGTCCCATTCTCTACTTCATGTGATTTTCCTTATCAACCACATAGTATCTGTGTTCTCTCCTCATTTTGTTCTTGTGCTTCATAACCTCAGTGAGAATGGAAGGTCATTAGGCACAGAATTCATCACTGATTTATCTCATATGATCCTTCCCCCTGCTTGGTTTGTATAGGTGTGTTGTGAAAACAAATTATTAATAATTTGGCTCAAGAACCCAAGCTAGACTTCCAACTAGGCTAGACTTCAACTAGTCTGCTCTCATATGAACAGGGCATCATTTTATAAGGTTCCTATTTTTGAAACCCTCTTTTTCTCTAAGATCTAGAATGTTGCCAGGTAATGACAAAAAAATTCCTTCCCAAATTAGAGCCAGTTTAAAGCTAGTGGTTAGTTGTAAGAATACTGTTGCTCATTCTACAGAGCATAAAATAATTTACAGAGAGAGACCCTTTATAGAAATAATTGTCATAAGATCATAAAAGCTTTTATGTCATAGTGATTCTCAACTTTGTATGGATCATTGTATCAGCCCATTTTGTCTCACGTTTGGAGCCACTTTGTCTCGGCCTGAGCTGTTGTTTTAGTCTGTGTGTCAGGGTCTAGCAAGAGAGAGAGTGGGGATGGAAGGGCAAGAGACACGAAGAATGGAGACAAGACAGAGTCTGATCAAGTCTCCTTTATTTAATGGAAATCTTGGGTATTTATATCTTTTATCACGTGCTTTGTCCTAATGGACAAACACAGTTGAAGGCACTATGTGTCTAGCAGTGTGGAGACCACATGCGTCTAGTTGTTGTTGGCACTAAACAGTAAAACAAGATGTTTATCAAGAATGTGTTCAGCTGTTGTGGGCTGTTGAAAACAAGTCTCTTGTCAGGGTATATGGCTGTAAAGATGATAGCCACTTTCGGCTAAGAGTCGGGTCCCAACAGATCATAAATGATTTCTGTTGAGAAAATAGCATGTGTGTGCTAATACACTTTAAGCATAATTTCAGGATGTCAGACTCAGTGTTGTGTCAACAATATTCATGACAGATATAAAAAAACCATAAAAGTATGTGTGAGTAGCCAAATTCAATCCAGTATCAATCTAAGCATTCAATATCTGTACAAAGAAGTAGACTACGGATATATACACAAAAAGGATTTGGGATGGTTTTAACTTTCACACAGTTTTAAAGAAAAAAAGTTATATGATGTTAAAATCTAGTCTAGTGAGACAAACTTCTAAAGTAGGAATGTACACTGAAGAATAAGGAACACAATGTGGTGGAATAAAAAAGGTAAATTATATTTAACCAATCCAGATGCCAATATGCCACTATTCTTTTAGAGAGTAAACAAATATTCTAAATGATTAAGTGATTTTACAGTCAACAGAGGGAGCTCTAACCTAAGTAGTTATTTATGATCCAAATTACATCCACTTTATAAGAATCTCAGTCCCTCTCCCTCTCCCTCTCCCTCTCCCTCTGTCTCCCTCTCTCTCTGAGACAGGTATGTCCATCCCATCCATCACAGATTGGTCCTTCAAACTCTCGAATCTCCTGCCTCAAGTGTACCGCCATGCCCAGCTTGGAAGAAGCTCTTTTTATGAAATTTCATATTGTAACAAATTTCTAGCATCCACATGTATCAGTTTATAGTCTGCAAGACACAGTCAAACGCTATTGCCAATGTGTGAGAGGAGTATCATTCATAGCGACCTGGTATATTTCTAAAACAAATGCCATAATTTGGGGAAAGGGATTATTATGTTACAGTTAGATCAAAGAACCTGAATATAATTCTTTACTCTTTTCCCCTAATTGTAAATGACAAACAGAAAATACATAATGATGACTTCTGTCTTATTTCCTTCAAGCCTACCATAGATTCAATCATTATCTAAAACCTCTTTAGTAAGAAACATTTTGAAGTTCAAAACTGTTCAGATCTTAGGAAAGTTATTAGCCCAATGGGACCAGGGACAATACCATATATGCTAGTATTTTTATAAAAATATGAATATTTGAATAAAATAGGTAAAGACACTATAAGCAATCTCATATTAGCTAAGTTTTGGCATTGTTTCCAAATTAGTTCTGGTTCAGAATTTCAGATAAAAGGGAAATTATCAGAAATTTTTAATTTGGAATTAATTGTATGAGAAGACTTATGGATGTGTATTATTCAATACTTTAAGTTCATAGTTAAGTCATAAAACATTTTTGTTTCTACTGAAAATATATTACAATGTCAATAATTGATACAATGAAGATAAAAATTCCAAATTCACTATTTTAAAGATACAACCAAATGAAGAAAAAGGCTAAATTGGTATGGTGGTTTGAATGTAGCAGATATGCAGCTTGGTCTTCATGTGGGTCCCTGAACAACAGTAGTGGGGGACATCTCTGACTCGAACTCTGTTTCCTGCCTTTGGATCCCTTTCCCGTAGCTGGGTTTCCTTGTCTAGCCTCAGTGGAAGAGGATGCACTTAGTCGTGCTGAATGAGACTTGATATGCCAGGATGTATTGGTATGGTGAGGAGCTGCAGGGGAGGGAATACGAAAGGGGGAAATAGGAGTGGGAGGAGAGAAGGGAGAGGGCTGTGATTAAATAACTAAATTGAATAAGTAAATACAGTGAATAAATAAATAAATAAATAAATACATAAATAAATAAAAAAGGATAGAAGGATTAGAAAGTGTGGCCTTGTTGGAGGAAGTATGTCACTGGGGTGGGCTTTGAAGTTTCAAAAGCCCATGCTAAGCCGTGTGTGTATGTGTGTGTGTGTGTGTGTGTGTGTGTGCCTCCCCCCCTCCCCCCCCCCCCCCCCCCCCCGCCTACAGATCAGGATACCACTCTTAGCTATTGCTCATATGCCACCATGCTCCCTGCCATGATAATAATAATAATAATAATAATAATAATAATAAACCTTTGAAATTGCAAGCAATTAATGCTTTCTTTCATAAGAGTTGCCTTGGTCATGGTGTCTCTTCACAACAATAGAACAATGATTAAGGTAATTGGTGACAAAAAAATTTTGAGTTCTTCCTACAATAGAAAAGGTTAAGGTTAAGGTTAGGTGGCCCAGAGAAGTCTTAAGTCTTGGTTGTTTTCTATCCCCTATGTTATGCAGGCTCATTATTCTATTAGTTTTGACCAAAATGATCTTTCTAGAATACAAATATCCTTTTAAAGTTGATGAAATAAATCAGAAGTTTATTAGTTTGCCAGAAGATGCTTCACATATGTGCCTTTTTTCCTTTCCTACCCCCAGCTTCCTTGCTTTTCCTCCATTCTTAAAATACTCAGATGCACGATTCTAACATATTTTGCCCACTCTTGACTACACAGTCTAAATAGACCTTTCTGGATGTACTGATATCAGTTTTCAGTCATTAAGATTCAGCATTGAGTGCTACTTGCTGAAAGTTGTTTTTTTGTTTTTTGTTTTTTTAGGTTTTTCGAGACAGGGTTTCTCCATACAGCCCTGGCTGTCCTGGAACTCACTCTGTAGACCAGGCTGTCCTCGAACTCAGAAATCTGCCTGTCTCTGCCTCCCAAGTGCTGGGATTAAAGGCGTGCGCCACCACCGCCCGGCTGAAAGTTGTTTTTGACCTTTAACATTTCTATGTATTACCACAGCAGGATGGATTTATAATCTATAAAGTTCCTGGACACTAGGTAATCTGACAGTTTCTTTTTAGTCATTACACCATGGTCTACCTGGGGGAGGGGCAGAAAGCATATCTGGCTCTTCATTACTGTGTCACTATACTGCAGTACAACCCTGGGTCATGGATGGTGTTTAGTGTATATATAGAGTATTTGTTAAATAAATTAATAATATGAATAACATATACAATATATTCAGACGAATAAAAATTTAGATAGGTAGGAGAAATCAAGAACGAACATGAACTACAGCTGGGATCAGATATATACATTTTGATAATGTGCAGTAGAAGACAAGATGTTGTATGGGTATGTTCACACATACATGGGTGCTTGTACATGTTTGTGGAGGTGAGAAGTCAATGCTAAATATTTTCCTCAATGGTTCTCTACGTTGTTTATTGAATCAGGGTCCCTCAGTGGATATGCAGCTTGATTTAGCTAGGCTGGCTGGCCAGCAAGTACCAGGGAACCTCTTGTCTCTGTCTCTACAGAGCTGAGGTTACAGATGTGTAGCCTTGCTTTCAGTTTTCTACATGTATTTTGGGAACTCAGTTTCTCATGCTTTGGCAGCAAGTATTTCATCAACTGAACCATTTCTAGCTCTCAAAAGAGATTTTTAAATTCAAACATGGATATAAAATAAAGACAAAATAGTATTACCAATATTCATCACTTATACATCAAGTGACCTTGTTTCACCAGAGCACAGAACATAGATATCGACAAGAGTTGAAATGAGTGCTGACATCACTAACACAATTAATGACATTATTAATCATTATTAATATGTGGTAGAAATAATGTCAAATAACTTGGATAAAGTCACTTAACCTTTGCTTACACTGTTCGTAAGACAGTTCTTTAGAGTCCCAGACTCCTGTGGTCTCTAAAGGTAGGGTTGACCTAGGTTTCTGGGAATAGTATATAGAGAAGGCTCTGCGTACTAAGATAATAATTCTTTGGCTTCTATATATAAATTACAGATCATGGGTCAGTGATGATGTCCTAGAGATTCTAAGGTGCAGAAAAATCTTAAATGCAGAGGAAAGTCTCTTAGGCAAGACACATAGGGACTTCCTGAGTGAATCAGATCACACAATCTCAATGGTCTGGACATGAAGTGACACAATAAAGATCTAGGTTTAGCCTCTTGGGGATAAGTGAAGCAGCTTAGGAATCATAAGAAGTATGTTTCTAGAGAGAGTACTAAAGAAAGCAGAGCCTAATTTTTATTTTTCAACTTTAAATGTAAGAATTTACATATGGGTATTAGAAATAATAATTAATGAAATTCAAAAAATGTGACTGATGAAGCTTGATGATTTGAGTTTATTTCCTGAACCCCAACACTAGAAGAATCAATGCCTAAACGTTGTCTTCTGACTTTGACACTAATGTTGACCTTGTATGAGAGGATGTTCTCCATTTGTACTAACCTGATGCACACAGATGTTACACTTATCACAGAATACCATATCATTCCCTTCTTCACTGTCTGGAGACCGGCACACATCACAGATCACATCTTCATCATATTCTATTCCTAGCCCTTCCACTGTCTCAATAGCATGGTTCATATTTTCATGGCAGTGGCGTTCCAGAACTTCTATTGTCTTTTCCATAAGAGTCTCATCAACTGGGCCATAACCTGCACAGAAAAATAAAAATTGAAAAAATAAATCCTTGTCTGTCTCCTGCTAAAACCTTAATCTATTTTCTTTTCTTCCTACTACTACAGACTTTTATGAACTATTGTAATTTTGAGCACTTTAATTTGTAGCATATTAAATCTCTTATTTCTTTGAACACAAGTGACATATTATCAGGAAATTAACTTCACTAAGAACACCTAACAATTATACCAGGAATTTTTCATATGGCAATATACTAACTAATAGAAGAAAATTCTAGGTAAATATTATATATATGAAATACTGTTTTTAAACCTGATTTTTAAAAAAAAATCCAATACCAGTTATCAATGACAAGTAGTACTAGAAACCTATTAGATTCATAAAGATTTAAATGTAATTCTGAAATCACTCCTTTCTTTATTCCTTTTTCTTTCTATACTTTTTTTCCTCACCTTCCATACTTAACCCAACTGAAAGATTCAAAAGGTTGATGTTAGTAAAAATTCAATTCTCCTAAGAGACCAGTGATTTTTGAAGCAGTGTGTGTGTGTGTGTGTGTGTGTGTGTGTGTGTAATTTTCAAAACTAGTCATCAAAAAAGAACTTTTTAAAAAATTGGGTATTTTATTTATTTACATTCCAGATACCATTTCCCCTCCCTAGAACTCCCTTATCCCATCCCCCTCCTCCTTTTTGCTTTTATACCATTTTAATTACATGCAAATATTAAGGTCAGTTCTAGGTTGAAGAATTAGCAATACAATAGATACAAATAGTCAAGGAACAAGCAAGACAACAAACACAAATAGTCAAAGAATAAGCAAGGCAATAAACAAAGTCCCATGATCACTCCCATGATTTATCAGGATGACCAAAATATCTAAGCCTACTTTCCTGTCCTAGCCCAAAGTCATTTTCATGCCTGAAGCCTACTTCTTTGTTATTGTCATGAATAACTTTCTGTATAAACTACCTTTTTAATCTACTTATGAAGCAAAACATTTTCTCAGGCTTATTTTTCAGTCAAGACATGATAACATACCTACATACATTCATATATACATATAGTTAGCTACACGCACATATATATGTATATTTATTACACACACAGAGAGATATATAGGAACAAAGAGTATAGTGTCTAGGCTGGGTAGGTACCCATAGAACTCTATTCTGTACATAGATATTTGAAATCCATGTCTTTTTATTGCTGCGCTATTGGCAATAGCAAGAAAATGGAATCTGCCTAAACAAATGCACAATTGATGAATGGATTATAAAAATATAGTACATATAAATAACTTTATCAAGCCATAGAAAATAAAATTTGTAATAAATGAATGGATCTGTAAAATATATTAAGTTGGGTAACCTGGTCTCAGAAAGATAAGTAACATAGTCTCACTCATATGTGGAACCTAGAGTCTAGTTTTAATACATTTATATTTATGTGAAAGTGATTACGTATAGAGGCCAGGAAAATAGAAAAAGACCTGTAAAAGGAGAAAAAGGAGGCGAGGCCTTAATATTAAGAGAGAGGTGTGGAAAAGGTAAAAGAATGCATGTGATTTACAAACAGATGGGAGACTACTGAGAATGAAAGAGCATAAGCTGGAATGGGAAGTGGGGAGATGAGAGGCTGGGGACAGGGTCAACCAAAATTAAATATGTATGAAAATGTAATAAATAAACTAGCTACCTTGTAAGCTATTTTTAAAAAGCAGAATTATAGTGCCTAGCTATGAGAATTTGGATTCAAATTCCAACTTTATCTCATATTAACTATGTAAAATTTGTTATCTTAATGTTCTTATATATAAAATAAGAAACCAAATTATTACCTTGTGAGAATGGGATATTTTCCTCATTATTTAGTATGGTACCCAGTATGTAGTTAGCATACACATTTAAAATTCTTTAATTCAAGCAAAAATGCTTAATTTAATATTATTTTTAAACGTTTATTTTAAGCTCTAAACTGTGTGATTACAATACCATTCATTCCAAGGAAAAACTTGACACAAGGCAAATCTCCTAAAAACAAAACAAAACAAAACAAAACAAAACAAAAAAACCTCTTCTAAGGGGGCTAGAGAGAGATGGTTCAGTGGCATAGAGCAGTTGTTCTTCCAGAGGACTCAGGATCAAGCCCCAGCACCTACATGGTGGCTCACAATGATTCACAACTCCAGTTCTAAGGAATTTGATGCCTTCTTCTGGTCTTTGCAGATACCAGGAATGTATGTAGTACATACATAATGGCTGGTTTGATACAAGCTAGAGTCATTAAGGAAAGGAAGCAAGCCAGTAAGCAGCATTTCTCCATGGCCTCTGCCTTAGCTCCTGTCTCTAGGTTTCTGACTTGTTTTTTTTTTGTTGTTGTTGTTGAAAATGCTTTTTTTTTTTTAATTTTTTTATTGGATGTTTTATTTACATTTCATATGTTGTCCCCTTACCCCATCCCCCACCCACCCAGGAACCCCCAATCCCCTCACACCTCCTCCTTCTTCTTTGTGGATGTAACCTCTATCTACCCCCCCACTCCCACCTCCCCACCCTCAAAACTCCCACCCCCTGGGGCGTCCAGCCTTCATGAGGTCAAGGATCTCATCTTCCACCTGTGCCCAGCAGGGCCCTCCACTCTTATATATTCAGCTAAGGCCCTGGATCCCTCCATAAGTGCTCCCAGGCTGGTGGTTTAGACCCTGGGAGCTGTGGTTGGTTGGTATTGTTGCTCTCCTCATGGGGCCACAAATCCTTTGAGTTCCTGTCCTAACTTCCTTCAGTGATGAACAGCAATGTGGAAGGGTAAGCCAAATAAACTCTTTCCTCTCCAACTTGCTTTTGGGCATGGTGTTTTATCACAGCAATAGAAAACATAACTAAGACAGAGGCAAACTCTCATATACATAAAATAAAGGGAATACATCTAAAAAAAAACTTAAAAACTAAAGTTTAAGGAAACAAATACCTTTTGTTTATTTTTGAAATTTTGAGATTATAATATATTCACATTACTTGCTTCCCCTTTCTCCCTCCAAATCTCATATACCCCTTCACATTCTCCTTCAAATTCATGGTCTCTTTTGTTTCATGTATATATTATTGTTCCATGCATATATTTATACACACGCACACACTTAAATACTCATTAAGTATAATGAAACTTGCATGCAGCATGTTTTCAGTGCTAATCATTTGTTATTGGATAACTAGTCACGGTACTCTTCCCTGGGGACGTCTATTTCTCTTGCTCTCGGCATTCCTTAGTTGCCTGTATTTCTTTGTATAGGGTTGAATATGGCGCAGAAACTGTAAGTGTACAGTAGTGGTATGCATGCCCTGGAGGTAACTCTATTTAGATGTTTAGGTAACTCTAGATAGCTCTCTATTTGAACTTAAGATTTAACAAGAGAGAAACTCTAAATGGCACTGGAAATTTAGCTAGTTATTCAGTGCAAACAAAGTCATAGTTATTGAAGGAGAACCTACAACCACTATTTTATTAAACTAGCAAATCTCTAATTACATTCTAAATATTTTTCCTTATACCCACAAATAAGTGTAGTCTCTACCCTTCATCAAGGAAACTTGTCTTTGAAACAGAGACCACTACAGAAAATCATAAGCAATCAAAATGCAGAGTTGTGGAGCCCAGCCTCAATGGATATGTCCCAGAGCGAGCATAATGATTGTAGGAACAAGACCATAAAATTTGCTGTGAGGCTGTGTGTCTCCTAGTGATGTCAGAAGCTACTGCCTAAAGATGAGCTGAACAAGGATGACACAAACAGATATGCTAAAGTAGACAGAGATAAACAGTCCATGATGTCTCACTCCTACATACATAAAATACCTCTTCAAGGACTAAATGAATTGTGTCCTGGATAGGATCCTATATCAGAAAAAGATAAGTAGAGAAAAAATGGAAAGCCCAATAGTCTGGAACATCAGTTAATAATGATGGCACCCTATGCTGTTTTCTTCATCCTAGTAAATATATCACGGCAAAAAATATGTTAATATTAGGGAAACAATGTATTTGAGGTAAACGTTTGTATTCTCTGTATTGAATGTCCATTTTTTCTGTAAATCAAACTGTTCCATAATAAAAAGTAAAATCCTCATCCAGAGTATTGATTGTAAAACATTAAAATTAAAGGGAAGTTTTTTAATCAAAGGAAGCATTATCTATGAATTCTGTATGCATGCAAAACCGCACGCACACTGAGGTACTTTCATCAGGTTGTCATACTCTGTATTTGCCCCTCTTTTATTGCATTCTCTGTGATTTACACTCCTAATTGGCCACCTGCAACTCCTCTTAGAGGGCAAATGAGAAAACAGAACATACTAAGTTTTTAAGAGCCAAAACTAAGATTTAGTTGTTGGCAGAATAACTGCCATCACCATGCCAAAGAACATTTAATATAATTTTAACTTTTTATACGTATTTATATACTAGTTTTAACATAGAAAACTTAAAACTGAGTTTAAAACTAAGAACATCTTTGGAGATATTTTTCCATTTAATTCTGGGCAACAAAATTAGAAGCCTTCTATTTATAAAGGATGGTCAGAATAACTTGTCACTTGTAGTGGGTGCTGTTAAATGCTGTAGATAGACCTTTTCTCCAACACCTGGAAGACACACCTCAACCTGTGGCCCTGCTCATTAATAAGAATGCTTTTCAGGACTAATCCAAGAACAGGTTTAAATATCCTTTCCACCAGAAGTCTAACCAACCATCACCACACTAACATTTAACATTATGAAACAACTTCATGAAATTTATGTGCCATTCGTATCTGTACTATTACACTGAATTAAGGAAAGGTAATTTACATTTTATTATTCTATTTTAATATAGATAAAACATTACTATATTTTATGCACTTAAATAAATGCCTCATTTGATCAAAAATAGTAATAGTAAAGGGTGGATAAGAAAGGAAAGTAAGAGAAAAGCAAGTTTTGTAGTGTTTCAACAACTTAAAAAAAACCCACTGGTGAAGTTCAAGTACAACTTACTTATAAGAAAATAGCTTACCCATTTCTCCAAGGTCTTCATTGAGTTCCTGAAGCCAGAAGATGTCCATGTCATCTAGGTCATAGCGGCATGTAGATGCTGCTAGCTCCAGGGTATTAATATAACCAGGTTCTGCAGACTCTGGGCTGGAGCAACGGATATATTTCCGGGGCCGGACAAAAAGAATCTCCTTTACTTTTTCAGATATAATCCTAGACAAGCAATGGAAAACATTGGCAACCATCAACAAAATGATAGATTACAGGTGCTAACAGGATAAGCCAAATGGTGATCCTGAGGAGCATGCTCTGCTTTGTACTTTGGGAGATACTACTGATCCCTTTCTAGAAGCAAATTCAGTTTCATCATCTGCTGTGAACTTATTGAACAATAATGACATGCTTAATTTACCTCCACATATCTGAGACCCTACTATTTATTCTAAGAAAGGTTAATGTATTATGTGTTATTGGTTCAATAGTTACCAAGTAAATTTAGAAAGAAAAAAAATCTGGTAAGAAGTATTATATTCACAAAGGTAGCATTAATACGTCTCAGCAAAACTCATGATTTTCTTCCATAGATAGTAGTGCATAGCATAGGTTTTAGATATACACAGCACAATTTTGGTTTTTTTCCTATTCATTTGTAAAGTGATCTTGAAAAACTGCTTAATTTAGATAAGGTTCAGTTTTGTTGCAAAAAAGTAGAGACAAGAATAATAAATTATTAAAATAATATCAAACTGGTAAGATTATTATGCTTATATGAAATAAAGTATTTAGCATGGTATATAATAAAATCAAGTTTTGGTAACATTAGTGAATTGCTATATTCTTATTATTTTCATTATGTAAATGAGTTAAAACAAAGAGATCAGAGACTTGTACAAAACTCAAGGCATTTCCCAACAAATTTGAGAGCAGCCATAGGTCTGAGCAAGGGCAACATAATGGAATGAAAGATTCCTACTACTGTATCAACTTTTGCAGTGAGCTTGAGCAAATCCATAGTGCTCTTGATATTCAAGAACCCAAGGCAAGAAAACCAATTAAAGGAAAAAATGACAAAATTTCATGCCCACAACTTATTCTACAATTGAAGGTTTAAAGAACAGATGAGGCATCAGAAAAATACAACCAGGAGGAAATCTGTATTATTATTCCGGGGGGGGGGGGGAGAGAGAGAAAGAGAGAGAGAGAGAGAGAGAGAGAAATGAAAACATTCCTCTGGAAGGCTTTGAGAGTTAATTTAATTATAGAGTCATTATACATGTAGAAGGGATATCAAGCATATCAATGCATGTAATATATAGATGTAATACATAGTTGATCATGTAAGTGTAGAGAGTAGATATTTTCTTCTAAGCATTCTTCCCAAAGCCCATGATTCCAAATAATTAATTTATTTTGAATAATGTTAATAGCTATGTATTTGTACATCTAAATTTTTATATAATATGGAGATTCAAAGCCAAAACCAGTAAATATTTGAAGAAAAGTGCAGAAACCTTAAGCATTAATTGAATCTAAAATTTGGGAACTGTAACAGAGGCCTGTTTCCAACTGAAAAGTATAAAACACATTGCTCTCCAGAGACTTCAAGATCAAATATACTTCATGGCCTTACAAGTCAATTACAGAATTATTTGATTTTTCCCCAAGGTATGTCTTTTTCTTTCTTTTTTTGTTTTTAAAAAAAGACTTTGTAGCTAATGATTCATCTCAAGTACTTTAGACTATACAAGGAAAAATGTACATTATAAATTTTCTTGAATGAAGCTTATGTTTAAAAAGCTTCTGGAAGAACACAAAGGAGAATATATTTATCACATCAGAGTAGGCAAAGGAATTTTAAATGAAACACAAATGTCATCAAACACAAAAGGAAAAGACTGAAACACATGCATACTAAAACTCTGGTTATTAAAAGAGAGAAAAAAATTCATGGAGTAGATGATATTTGCGACTAAAGGGCTTACATCTATAATGTATATTAAAAAGTCTAACAAATCAATCTGGAAAAGAAAAATGTTCCAATTAAAAACTAGGGGAAAAATTTAAGCAGACACTTCACAAATAAGGCTACTTTATGGCAAATAAAGAATTTAAAGGCTCTCAGCAGGGCGGTGGTGGTACACGCCTTTAATCCCAGCACTTGGGAGGCAGAGGCAGGCGGATTTCTGAGTTCAAGGCCAGCCTGGTCTACACAGTGAGTTCCAGGACAGCCAGGGCTACACAGAGAAACCCTGTCTCGAAAAACCAAAAAAAAAAGAAAAAAAGAATTTAAAGGCTCTCAATCTCATTAGTTATCACAGATATTTAAATAATAATCATTGTTATCTATTAAAATGGCTAATATTTAAAAGACTGACACCAAACTAGTCTATGAAATTCTAAGTGATGGTAAGAAGCTAAAGCAAATAGACCTGTTATTACACTGCTGGTTTGGGAATGGACTGATATAAGCCACTTAGCAGCAGATGTTATACCTATAACAACTATAATATAGTTATTATACTGCTTTAACAACTATAATATAGTTATTCAATATGAACAGATAGATGTCATTTGACCTAGCAAATCTACTCCTAGGTATATATTTAATAAAAATTCACAGACATGAAAGATAAGTAAAAAGGTTTAGTTTCTGCAATTGCTGGAAGCAACCTAATGTCTACTGAGGGTGAATGGATAAATAAATCATGGCATATTCACACAATGAAATATAATGCATGAGTGAAAACTTAATGAACTACTGTACTACATGCAACGGCATGGATGGATCTCACAAGCATGATGATGAACAAAACAATCCAGTCTCAAATGAATACATACTATAGGATTCTATTTGTATGAAGTTCAAAAACTGGCAAAACTGTTACCTACGGTGAGGGAGGTCAGTTACTGGCAGGGAGCAGAAGAAAGGCTTCTGGGGTGTTGGTAATGTTCTATTTCTTGATCTGAGTGGCAGTTAAATGAATATGTTTAATTCATAAAAATTCATTCAGGTATACAATTATGCATTCTATATTTTATGAGTGTACATCATATTTCAATGCAAAGTTTACCATAATGATAATTAGAATGGTGATATCATCTTAATCACCTTTCATTAAATATAATGAATAAAAGTCTGAATCTGAGGACTGAAACAGTAACACTAAATGCAAGAAAACACATGGGTAAAAGGTCAAATTAATGCAAATTTACAAGGAGAAGTTGCTGAATTTATAACAGAAAAGATCTGTAAAAACATTACTTTGGGATTTTATTTTGGATTTTTAAGACAGGGTCTTACTATATAGTCCTCGCTATCCTGGAATTTGCTATGTAGATCAATCATGCTCATCTCCAACTTGGAGATCCCCCTGCCTCTGCTTCCTGAATACTGAAAATAAAGACATGTGTTAACATGCCTAGAGGAATTTTTTTCTGAGACAGGTTCTTGCTATGTTCCCGCTTCAGTCTCCCAAGGGCTGGGATTACAGGTTTGTTAGCATCTCTAGCTTAGGATGTTTTAGAAACAGCTTCATTTACATACACACACACACACACACACACACACACACACACACACACACACACTTCAGTCTCCCAAGGGCTGGGATTACAGGTGTGTTAGCATCTCTAGCTTAGGATGTTTTAGAAACAGCTTCATTTACACACACACACACACACCTGGTTATCCAAAGACACACTTAAGAGTGTCTTTTTGTTTTATGTGTGTATGTGACCACTATAGCTTTAGAGCAGTGGTTCTCAACCTTTCTAACGGTGAGAACCATTTAATACAGTTCCATATGTGGTGACTACTAACCATAAAATTATTTAGTTGCTAGTTCATAACAAATTTTGCTACTGTCATGAATCATAAGTATCTGATATGTGACCTTTAAGGGGAGTCACGAACAATCCTTCTATAATTTTCTTTGTACTAGTTAGAGAGACACTATCAATGGCATCAGATCACTGACCAAATCAGCTAATGTTTAAAAACCTAGAGATCTAAGTAATTTTGTCGGGACAAGGTAAGCACAGATTTCAATTTAGACCCTTTAGTATAACTGAATGTTTCAGTAGCTTTTTAAGATGATGGGCTTTTGTTAAAGGACCCATAACTATAGGTCTAGGGAAAGGTTTATTCACTTGTTCTTCAGACATGTATGCCAGAATGGCTGGGACAATACTAAGTCAGGTCACAGTAGACACTGCTGTGCCACTGAGGAATCATTGAAAATGAAACTACTACTACTACTACTACTACTACTACTACTACTATTCTTTTCTGACCTAAAGCCTAACAAAGTGTCTTACTGACAGTGACTACTCAGGAACGTTTTAATTGATCTAGATATTTGAAAGGTAGAGACTATGTTGTTTCTATTGAGTGCCTAGAATTGTTTGTGAATAGTAGAAACTATATAAATATCACAGTATTTTTTAAAAATATTTGAGCCGGGCGGTGGTGGCACACACCTTTAATCCCAGCACTTGGGAGGCAGAGGCAGGCGGAATTCTGAGTTCGAGGCCAGCCTGGTCTACAGAGTGAGTTCCAGGACAGCCAGAACTACACAGAGAAACCCTGTCTCGAAAAAACCAAAAAAAAAAAAAATATTTGAAATGAGTATCTTAAAATTAACTACTAAGTCTTTCATAGAAATGTTTTTTTTTTTTTTTGAGATACTGTCTCAACTCTGTAAACTCGCCATGAAGCCAAGGCTATCCTTGAACTCATGTTGATCCTTCTGTCTTTTCTTTCCAAGTTTATAGGAGTGAACCACAACTCCTGACTTCATAAACATATATTTAGGTATAGTCCCCCCAAATAACCCTTGTTAATCTTGTTATTTTGTGATGAGCTTTTCTTCCAAAGTTTCTGTGACTTAGTAGATAAGACAGTTTCACTCACATGACACAATGACATTTTCCAAATTGCACATATTCTTTTACAATGTGACTCTGGTCTTCAAGTTCTAAAGATTATTTCTCCTCCGTTTCAATAGATAGTGGCTTATGATGATATGAACCAGAGGTAATATTATGAGCACTGCAAGCTGAGTCATAAAAAGGAGTGCAGCCTTCACCTGGCTGTCAGAAAGGACCAGGTACAATTCAGTTTTGTGTCTTGTGCCTGGAGCCTATAAGGAATATGACAGTGCTAAGATTGTCAGACAATGAAGGAGTCAACCCAAATGTAATTCTCATGTCTT